GGGAAAACGCCGAAATAATACTTTTACACAAGAAAGGAGACAGTACTAATATTGAAAACTACAGACCTATAAGTTTGTTGTCACACTTATACAAATTGTTAACAAGAATAATAACCAACCGCATAACACAAAAACTTGATTTATATCAACCGGTTGAACAGGCGGGATTTAAAAAAGGGTTTGGTACTAATGATCATTTTTATCCATCAGAACACTAGTAGAAAAGACCACGGAATATAATGTACCTTTACATATGGCATTTATCGACTTTCACAAGGCTTTCGATAGTATTGAGACTTGGTCCTTTTTGTCAGCCCTGAAGGATGCTCGAATAGACTCACGGTACACTACACTCATTAAAAACATTTATGAACAGGCCACATTCCACATCAAAATCAATGAAGACGAAAAAACTGAAAAAATGCGCCTTGATAAAGGTATTAGACAAGGTGATACTATTTCACCAAAGCTTTTTACCTTAGCATTGGAAAATGTATTCAAACAGCTTGACTGGGAGGAAAAAGGTCTAAACATTGATGGTGTACGTTTGAGTCATTTGAGGTTTGCGGATGACATAGTATTATTTAGTACAGATATCAAGGAACTGGAGCAAATGTTGAAGGAATTAAACCAGCAGTCAAATAAAATAGGTCTCAAAATGAACCTTCAGAAAACAAAAATAATGAGTAATTTACAAACTAATCTTGCTATTGACAACGTCAGTCTTGAAAATGTAGACCACTATATGTATCTTGGGCATACCATTAAAATCGGCAAAGAAAATCAATAGCCGAAATAAAAAGACGCATACAACTGTCTTGGGGAGCTTTCGGCAAATTAAGCTTTATTTTAAAGAATAAAGATATACCAATGTGTCTAAAACGTAGAGTTTATGACAAATGTATCTTGCCTGTAACTACATATGGACTGGAGACCATGGCCTTCACAAAGAAAACCTTAGAGAAGCTCAGTACAACCCAAAGAGCAATGGAGAGGGCCATGCTAGGGATTAGTTTGAGAGACAAGATTCGAAATAACGTCATTCGTGAAAGAACAAAAATTACTGATGTCTCAGAACGTATTGCAAGGCTCAAGTGGCAATGAGTCGGACACGTTGCCCGAGATAATCCCGAAAAATGGACACAAAGATTAACAAACTGGAGACCAAGAGAGAACAGGCGAGGAGTAGGCAGACCGCAGAAGAGGTGGACAGACGATATCAAACAAGTCGCGGGCAAGCAGTGGATGAGAATTGCCAAAAGTAGAAATCGATGGAAGCAAATGGAAGAGGCCTATGTCCAGCAGTGGACGAACACAGGCTGAAGAAGAAGAAGAATCCGGGATTTATTTGCTTTGCTATTAATGTAAGGAAACAAGTTTAAAAAGATTACATTTATGTACACACAATGATTTAGTAATAAATATCACTTTTTAAGTTTATTAACATTTACAATAACTCAAGAAGTCAAAGAAAAGTCAAAATGAGTTTGAAGGTTTGATTGTTTATTTATAAATACCTAGTTTCACTAAAAATTGGATGAATCCCTAGATAAAAGTATTTTTTTAATATCTCATACTACCACCCAATTCAGTTAAACCGTCTATACAGTTGTGTGGAGGAAAACCTAATTTAATTTTCCTATATGATTTTAGAAAGTTAAAAAATATATATTTTATGCTGTAAACGTCACATCATATATGGAATCCCAAATAGATATATGCAGCTGATGCAATAAATGTGCATCAAAATTACTTAAATTAAAAAATCAATCAAGTCCTATTTAACAGAAATGTTGGAGCTTATTTTACACTTAAAAATGAAATGATAAAAGAAGAATTTCAAAATTATATGCTGAAGACATAACTGTAATAGCTTAGATATTTTATATCGGTGTTATTGACATGTGCCATCCCATTAAATGAACTATTCACACATTCAAGCCTGTTGATCCGTTTTCTTCACTCGAAAGAACTAAAATGGCAAAGATTTTTACAGTAACTTTGGACTGTTTTAGAAATACTTGCCTTTTTTTAGCAGGTACCTTATTTTGTAGCTTATATGTATTTCTTCTTCTTAAGGTGCCGTGCATTTCTGCGTAGGCGTCCACCGTACATCGTCTTGTCAGGTGAGATGTTAAATATTCTGGATTAAATAATTCTATTTTTAGCAGCATTGCGAAGCATTTCATAGCTGTGGATTCCTGTCCATTGTCGAATATTGCGCAGCCATGACATTTTTTTTACGTCCGAGACCTCTCCTACCCTCTATCTTCCCTTCGAGTATCAGTTGCTGAAAAGTGTATCGTTCTCCTCGTATAATGTGCCCCAAGTATGCAGTCTTCTTACTTTTTACATAATTAAAAAGTTCCCTATCCTGTAAGCCCGCTCTTCTGAGTACTTCCTCATTTCTGACCCTGTCCGTCCATGATATTCTGAGCATTCGACGCAGGCACCACATTTCAAACACTTCAAGTTTGTTAATGGAACTGGCTTTTAACGTCCATGCTTCCATTCCGTACAGGAGAACAGGCCACACGTAACACTTAAGCATCTTGTATCGGAGGTTGAAGTCCAATTTGCGATCAGTCAGAAACTTACGAAGCCTCAAAAAAGCATTTCTGACTTGTTCAACTCTGCTCTTTATTTCATTCTCGGGGTCCCAACCCTCATTCAGCAAACATCTCAAGTATTTGAATTGCCTGACTTGTTCGATTTCTTCTCCAGAGACATATATCTTTGCGTTGGGGTAATCATTTCTACTTATAATCATTGATTTTGTCTTCTTGATATTTATTTTCAAACCCCGAGCTTCACTTGCAAGAGTTAGATCATTTAAAGGCATTGAAGATCTTCGATGTTATCTGCCACTATGGCTGTATCATCGGCATCCATGATGTTATTAATAAATATGCCGTTAACTTTAATACCCTTATTAGAGTCTTCCACTGCTTCTGCGAAGGCTTTTTCTACGTATAAATTGAACAGCATTGGGGACAGTATACAACCTTGCCTTACTCCTTTTTTAACGGAGAAATCTTCTGTTTCGTTGGAATTTTGAAGACGTAGTGTTGCTGTCTGATTCCAATACAGATTGGCGATGATTCTTATATCCTTTGCATCCAATCCCAACTCTTGTAGGTATTTTATCATCAATTCATGTTTTACATTATCGAATGCTTTCTCGTAATCGATGAAACAGATAAAAACATCCTTTCTTTGATCTAAACAATTCTGTATCAATGTTTGCATACTAAAGATCGCTTCTCTCGTGCCAAGTCCATTTTTGAAACCAATATATGTATTTGATATAGTTCAAAATTGAGTTTTTTGTTATCTAGTACCCTAGTATACCCCAATATACAATGGACTGAATTTATTATACAGTAGAATCAATCATCATCATAAGTGGCCTACTCACAAAGTAGTCTCCACTCCTGTCGTCTCCTGGCAACTTCCCTCCATCTTCTAACCCTTAGAATCTGTAGATCTTCTTCTACATCATCAATCCATCTTATTCGTCCTCTGCCTTTTGTGCCCTCTGCTTTTGAAAATGTTAATCTCTTCTTTATTCGTGATCTGACATCCTAGCAATGTGTCCAGACCATCTAAGTCTCTGCACTTAACGAATTTCATAATATCTAGATCGGTGTATAACTGATATAGTTCAAAATTGTATCTTCGACGCCATAGCCCGTTTTCATTTGCGGCCCCAAGAATTTTTCTCTCAAAAATACCAAGAAGTCTTTTATCATTTTGAGATAAAGTCCAACTTTTCAGCCCCATATATCAAAACCAGTCTTATTAAGGTCTTGTATATATTAAGCTTTCTTCTTCTTCGCGTGCCATATCAGAATTATCCGACGTTGGCGAGAAACCAAGACCAAGAAACTTGTTTTCTTCCTACACCTCTACGGCCCTCTATTTTGCTTTTAAGGATCAGTTATAAAATTTCATATCGACTTCCCCTTACTATATGTCCCAGATAAGACATTTTTCGATGTTTAACAGTCTTTAGCAGTTCTCTGTCTTTGTTGACGCTCCTTAGTACTTCTTCATTAGTTTTTCTTGCTGTCCAAGGTATCTTCAGCATTCGTCTATGAACCCACATTTCCAATGCTTCAATTTTGTTCATGATCGATACTTTTAGCGTCCACACTTCTGAGTTCTGAGAACTTTCTCAATTTGGATTCCGTTCAATTGAAGCTTTGCATCGGGATGTGGGTCACGACTAAACACTCAAAATTTGGTTTTGTTTGAGTTTATTTTAATGCCCATTTCCTCTCCTATTTCGTGAATACGATCAAGCAGAATTTGAAGACCTTCAATATTATCTGATAGAATTACTGTATCGTCTGCATATCTAATCATATTAAGTAGTTCATTAAATTAAATCCGCATTGATATTGGCCAACAATATCCTTTGTAAAATGTTTCAAATGTAAAGTCTTTCAAATAATACATTTCCGCAGATATTATAAGCAGATTCTAACAGAGTAATTCCTCTATAGTTCTTACACTCCAGTTGATCACCCTTTTTATGCAACGGACATATTATTCCCTTCAGCACTCTTCTGGAACCCATTCATTCTGCCATATAAGTACTATTAGTTCTATCACCACCTTTTTTATACATTTCCGAACAGATTTCATCAATTCCTTTATTATTTTGAGTTTTAGGATCGCATTTGACACTTCACTGTATAGTTGACGTAGATTTTGTTGATTTTCTATGTTGTACTCTCCTTCAATATCGTTTATATTTAGATGTTCGCGCTGAAATGTGGTACCCAGCAGTTAGTGTCTTTACAAATTTTGAGTAGAATCTATTAGATTTAAAAGAACAAATTTTGAAATTCTGAAATTACTAAATCAAGCAGCATCTAGAAAAGTTTTAATAACTGTAAAATCATTGCTTCACCTTACACTGATGTGAGTCTGTGCTTTTGACTAATTTATGTTTGCATGTACCTCACAGGGTTAATAAATAACAAGCTTCAATCATGTCTGCTAGTCAACTTTTGGATTCATGTGTGTAAGTACCATTGGTGTATAACCATTAGTTTATCGTTTGTTATTTAGCAGTGAAATTCTTCACAAATAATTGTATTGGTTGTATACTAAGTTGAAACCAGAACAAGCCAAACATAACATTAAAATACCTCAATTCATTGTATAGATGGACGGATTTCACCGGAAATACTTACACCGGACGGAAAATAATTTTTTCAAGTTTCTGCATTTTGTTAGAAATTCGATTGCATTATAATTCTATTTTTACTTTCAAGTCAGTTTCTTTGCCCTGACATACTATATTAGATATAATACTCTTGTTGATTTCCTTTCTCAATTATCCAATTCTCTTCTATTTTACTTAAACAATTAATGTAAGTCTTTTTTCTAAGTTGCTTTTTAGTAAAAAGATCAAATAAAACCAATATCGGCTTATTTCACAATTTGGCAAAATTATTTATTAACAAGTGAAATAAAAATAGCCGTCTGATTATTAGATTCCTTCAAAAATATCTGCAAATACAGGGTGTTTCAAAAAGGTATGTCATAAATTAAATCACGCATTCCGGGGACACAAATAAATTGATTGAATCGAACTTACCTTAGTACAAAAGTGTACACAAAAAAAGTTACAGCCCTTTGCAGTTACAAATTAAAAATTGTTTTTCTGCATTATCTCCTAAACCACTTGACATTTTGTAATAAAAATGGACACGTTACTTTTTTGTTCTGAAAGCATTTTTCACATAAAAGAAACAACACAATCTAAGCGCACAGAAAAAATTTTAAGGGGGGTGTGCAGCCCTAAATCCCCCTAACTTTTGAGTACGTTCAAATTCAGTGCACATTATTTTTAAAATATTTTTGCCTCATTTTTTTTTCAAAAAACAGTTTTATTGAGTTACGGCCCTTTTCATTAACCTTTAAAAAATTACGTGCAACTAAATAAATGGCTTAAATGAATTAACAAGTACAAAAAATGTTCAAAATGACACCCATTTTCTTCAATACACATTCGGTATCGTTTTAATAAGGAAAACCGAATGCGCTGAAAAATCATATTTTTCTGCGCAAAATTGATTTGCAGCTTCAATTATTCTAACCCTCAATTGTTGTTCGTCCTCGATTGTAACAGAATACACTTTCCCTTTCACAAACCCCCAAAAGCAAAAGTCCATGGGGATACGACCTGGACTTCTGGGTGGCAAAGGGATACTGGTCAATCCACCGACCAGGATACTGCCTGCAAAGGTATTCCTGGACTTCATTACTGTAATGCGCTGGAGGGCCATCTTGTAGGAACCACATATTTTGCGTTATTGCAATATTCACTTCTTCCAAATACTCTTTGCCAATCCAGCAATCTAAATCCAATTCTAAATCCTTTGCCAAGAACTGCAAATAATTATCACCATTTAAATTGTTGGGAATAAATACTGGGCCTATTAGATTGTTATCCACAATTCCTGCCCTAACATTAACTTTGAAAGTCCTTTCTAATAAAATTAAAAACAAAATATTTCTAATAAAATTAACATTTCGAGTGTTTTCCATTAACAGCCAATCGCAAAATTCAATCCTTTTAGAATAATCTTCAACCAATGACTCTTGAACTCTTGGTGTTAATGATAGGGTTTAAGCAGCTGATCCTTCAAACGCCTCCAAACCCTTACGTGAGGAACATTTAGTTAAGCAGCTATTATTATTAAACAAAATGCATGATGGTCTCTAAGAAGGAACAGCAATTTGGACAAATCAGTGTAAACGGTCAACAAATAGAAACAGTAAAAACATACACCTACCTTGGTACGAACGTCAATGAAAATTGTGACCATTCCATAGAAATCAAATGTAGAATAGAGAAAGCAAGATCTGCATTTCAAAAAATGGCAAGTTATTCAAATGTCATGATTTATCAATGCCCATAAAAATCAGGTTACTACGATGTTACATCTTTCCTATACTGTTGTACAGAGTTGAGTCATGGACTCGTACAGACGCCACCTGCAAGAAAATTGAGGCTTTTGAAATGTGGCTTTATCGTCGCATCCTGAAGATATCGTATATCGACCACGTTACTAATGAGGGTTTCTAAAATGTCTTTATCAGTTGCATCTATTATTGGACGACCGCTATGGCCAGCGACTTGCGGTTTGAATGTACCCGTGGTCAGTGGTCAGAAATAATTGTCTATTGGGTGTTATTTCGATTGGGGTATTTTACTCATCGAGCAATAAGACAAAAGAGGGAATCTAATCGTTATGAAAAGGAGACCAAAAAAGTGGCCTCTGATGGCGGACATATCCGGAAATGCAAATGCGCCAAATTTAAATTTCATGACACTTGACAATAATCATACAGTGGTGTAGGGGTTCTAATTTATCTATTTATTTATTTTATATCACATATTTTATATTATATATTTATCTATTTATTTATTAAAATACTTTTTTTAACACTAGAACACAATAAAGTTTTAATTAAGGCTGTTTTCGCAGTTATAGCATACTGCGATTTGAAGTGGCGTATCACTTACTTTTCTAAACTGCTATGTCAGACCGTACGTGACTTCCTAATACATAGTTTGGATGTTTATTCAGTGGCGCCGGCCGACGGGTTGTTTAAAATAAATGCATTATTCTCCATTCAAATTAGTTTTGTCGGAATACTTTTTTTTAGATTAATTATCGTAGATAATGTTTTAAAAAGAATTAATCACATTTTTAATTTATATGTCTAAACATAGTATTAAATAAAAATTTGTGAAACGTGACTGCAAAAAACACCATGGTGTTTATTTATAATAAATTTAAATTTTGTTATATTAATATTAATATATAATTAATATTTTGTTAATATTTGTTAGAGAAAACTGATATTAGCGTAGTAAAAATTAAACAAAAAATATTTTTATTTATCTATAAAAAATTGGTACCTGCGAAACCATCATTATAGTAAATGTATTTATCTGGCAAGTATTTCGAGGCGACGCACTGCGAGGAAAAAGTTCTCTGAATGGAATATACATGATTTTAATATATTTATAGGTTGCAGTTACATAAGAAAAGTATCCAATTGATGAATAAAACACAAATCTTGGATAGTTATTTCATCATATCAGTGGCATTTCAGCTCGTCATGAGCCAAAGGCTTCTTCAGAACAATCTTCCATTCGCCCCTGCCTCTGGCAACTTTCTCCATGCTTTAACTCCGATGGATTTTAGATCATCCTCTATGTTATCTTGATACCTAAGTTTTGGTCTTCCTCTGGATCGTCTTCCCACTGGTCCTCTTCGGTCGAAAATTTTTCTGATCGTTTCATCTTCATCTCGCCTAATTACATGTCCTATCCATCAAAGGCGTACTAATTTAATAAATTTTACAACGTCAGGTACTACACCTGAAGAAGCATCGTAGTTTACTTTATACGATCTTTTTGACCAAGCACCATCAGCTATAACGGTTATTAACCCATTTCCGTCGGAATCTACTTCACCAATTTCTTTGGCTAAAGCTAATTCCTCCCGTCCAGCCTCTTCTAAGGAATCACAAGTGTTTGGCCGATGATATCTGGAACTGTTTCCGTATGTTTTGCATACTGCCTGTAGGAAATCACAGGTATATTTAATGTAGCGTGCTGCTGCTGTATGTCTGAATAACCAGAACCATTCAAGTTCAGTGAATTGTTACCAGAATCCTATGTTGCTATCTCCTTTTCAATAGTCCACATTTGACATTTAAAAGTCAATGTACTTATCAATCCGTCCATTTTTTCTTTGATAATCTCCATATTAGAAAAGTTGCATGAAAATGGAGAATGAGTATTTTTAAGTTAAATAAAAGCTTTTAAAAACGGTTGTAATATAAATAATAAATACTAAAGCAGTGCAATTGCTCTCCTTTTCCTTGACATAGGACGTTTACTGGGACTCATTTTTTATCTTGTCTCTTATAACTTATATCACTAACCTAATGTAATACTTAAAAATACGCGTAAACTAAAGAACTTTTAACTTATACCACTAAACTAATAATATATTACTTAACATACACGTAAACTAAATAATTTCAATGTTTTCAAAATAAATAAGAATACTGTAAACTGTAAAAACTAAGCAAGTTGATAAAGAAAATACAGGAATGAAAGAACTAAAATGGATTCTAATTCAAGCGAACTAACTGACCGTACCCATAGAGAAATAAAAATAAGACCGTACCGTACGCTCATGTGATTTGACGTCACTAATGCGATAACGATCGAGCTCAGCGACAATGATGAGGAACACGTTTCACTATTAGATTTCAGTATTTTTTAGCAATTTTCTTCAAAGTTTGAATACGCTTTTCTCGATTATTACTGGACACAGAAAGGTGAAAAAAGAATCAACGATTACAGAAAAAAAAACTCTTTCAACTGATGGGCGTGAAAAGTTTGGTTATAATAGAACGTTAAACAGTATAATCCAATTTTTCAACAGAAAATTCAAAAAAATAAAAAAAGTAAAACCATCAGTTTAAAGGCAACATAATTTCGTATAACGTGTCCAAATTTCGAGACATTTCGTCGGTAAATAACAGAGAAAAAATTTTGGTGCACCGATAAAACAGCCTTAATGAATAACGATAATAGTCTAAAATGTTAAACAATTGTTAAAAAACTTCAATAGAAAATATAAATAAGCTTTCATGTGACAGTTTTGACAAACAATAACATCAACAATAACATAACCCAACTAAATTTGATTTCTTAAACAAGGAAAGAGATTCTCTTTCCTTGTTTAATGTGGCCTCTCAAAATAGCACTTCCTGTCTATCAATATGTTTGCCCCCACTACCTTTACATTCCCTCTTTTGTCTTATTGCTCGATGATTTTACTGCATAACTAACGCCTTGCGGCTGCTGCACTATTTTCTTGAAATCCACCTACGATATTCCCGATAGTTTATTGAAATCATAATTTAATATGATCCAACTTAAAAACAAAGTTAAATACATATCTGCCATTTCCTGAAATGTGTAGG